GCCTCCTCCACAGAGGCCGATCTTGACACCGCTGGTACCAGTCATCGGCAAGTCTACTCAGCTCCACGTCCTCCTGTACCACATCACTCCATCTCTTCTCTAGCCCGTGCCGTGCCCGCTTAGCCCCCTCAATCCGGCCGAGCAAAAGCTGTTTCGGCTGGGCATGCGGGCTACATGACCCAGCCATCGCAGCCTTGCCTGCCGAAGGAGCTCACCGATGGGACCTTGCCCAGATCTTTCAAGGATTTGTGAGCTCCTCACACAATCCAATCTGGTTAAACCCAGGATGGATCGTAGGCAGGCCAGCCTAAGTGTTTCTAACCGGCGAAGATGTTCCATTAAGGGGGTCCACGTTTCGCAAGTGTAGAGAAGTGAGGGAATGACCGTGGCCGAGAAAACCTGAAGCTTAGTGCGGAACGACAGACCAGGTAGCTTCCACACAGCGTTACGCAACCGATGAAAAGATATTGCCGCTCGACTGATTCGGAGTGAGACCTCTGCTGTTAACCTGGAGCCAGTCATAAGCAGACTGCCCAGGTATGGAAAACTCTCCACTCTCTCCACAACTGCCCCATCACCGATTGGGAGTTGTGGGGGTGGAGTGTTCGATGGTACAAAATACCCAGGCAGGTGCTTAGTTTTTGTGGGGCTGATGGTAAGGCCCCATCTCTTAGTTGCACGCTCCAGTCTCAGCAGCAGCGTCTCCAACTCCTCCTCTGAATGAGCAGCTATTACCAAATCATCGGCATACATAACATGGTTGAGCAATAGGGAGCCATCCCTTGACCGCACCCGGGCATCGATCAGCCTCCCATTATATCTGTACCATATGGAGATTCCCCCGGTACAGCTATTGAAGGCTTCACGAACTACGTGGTCAAAATAGATGTTAAATAATGTGGGAGCCAGAGGACATCCCTGTCGCACCCCAAGGTGTACAGGGAATGGCTCTGACTCCCGGCCACGTAGTTTTATCCGGGCCCGCTCACCATCATGAAGGCCCTTAATGATCGTGAGCAGAGGGTCAGGTACTCCAAAAGCACGAAGAACGACCCAGAGCCCAGGCCTACTGATGGTATCATAGGCCTTGACCAGGTCAATAAAGCAGAGATGTAGGTCTTGTTGGAATTCCCTACACCTCTGCTGTAGCAGACGGACAAAAAATATGGCATCTGTGCAGGACCGCCCTTTCCTGAAACCGCATTGGGGCTCCGCAAGCCTCTCCTCAGCGTGCCTGGCAAGGCGATGCTGAATAATCCTTGCCAGGACCTTTCCCGGCACAATGAGGAGTGAGATGCCCCTGTAGTTGTTACAGTCTGTGCGGTCCCCCTTCTTAAAAAGGGGGACCACCAGGGCATTCTTCCAATCCTGCGGAACCCGTCCAGTGGTCCAGACTGTTGTTATGATGTCATATAGGGCAGTCTGTGCACAAACGCCACCCTCCCTCAGCATTTCGCTTGGGAGATCATCTCTTCCCGCTGCATTTCTTGGTCTCAGACTCCGGATCGCCTTCAGTACTTCCTCAACAGATGGCACCTCAGCCAGCCACTCACAGGGGGTGACTTCTTCCTATATTTGAGGCACCGCAGCCTCAGCAGGGTCATCCTCACTTTGTGCCACCATGTTTTCCTGGCTGAGGGATTTTCCCTCCCCCAGGACCTCACAGAAATGCTCAGCAAATCTGCAAACCTGTTCCTGGGGGTCGGAGATTGGATCACCGTTTTTTCCCCTAATGATGGTAATAGGTGTGGCGCTGCAGGTTACTTTTTTGATGGAGTTAAATAGAGATTTTTGATCAGGGGCCACTGAGGCAGACTACATCTCCTCAGCAACCCGCGACCACCACCCATCCTTGCAGCGCCTCACGGCTCTCCGAACCTCCGAGCGAAGGCTGCGGTAAGCCTCCTCATTCTCTGACGTGGGATTCTGTAGCCGATGACAATGGGCCTGTCGCTTTTTCTCAACCATCCTGAACACCTCCTCTGTCAGCCAGGCTCTCTGGGGAGGTCTGGACCGCGTACCTAAAGCAGCCATTGCAGCTGCATGAGTCACAGTCCTAAACCTCGCCCATTTACCCTCGACATCAGGAGGAGTCGGGGACGATGCCAATCCCAGCCGCAAGCGATGATGAAATTCTCGCTTGCAACTTTCATCAGATAACTAAGACCAGGCCACTTTAGGTCGGAATGGGGTCCTGGGTGTACACCCACCACCGGAGTGGAAGAATGGCAGGCGCATCTTACAGATGACTAGTCGATGGTCAGAGGGCAGATCAGCTCCACGGTAGGTCCTGGTGTCAAGGACATGGGCTCGCATTCGCTGGTCCGTCACTATGTAGTCCAGCAGATGTTCTTGCTTGGACCCGGCATGCATCCATGATGTTGTGTGGATGCGCCGATGCCGGAACAGCGTGTTGGTAATTACAAGCCCATGGGCTGCACAAAAATCTAGCAGCCTCCTACCGTTGTTATTGAGCTGAGCTGGCCCATGCCCTCCAATCACTCCAGACCAGGTGCCAGTATCATGACCAACTCGGGCATTGAAGTCACCCACCATGATGACTCTATCCCGAGGGGCCACTTTAGCCAGCACCTGTGACAGGAGGTCATTGAAGGCATCTGACTCATCGGCTTTGCCTGCATCCCTCCACGGATGTTCATCTTCGGTGGGGGCATAAGTAATCACGACCACCATTCCTCGCCTCCGGTTGATGGGAAGGCGAGCCCAAAATAGCCTGGGGCTTACAGCTTCCCACACCTCACCGCCACGCTCCCACGCCCCCTTCATTCTTTTGTTCAAAAGAAGAGCCACACCCTGTTGTTTGGCAGTGAGCGGGAATCGAACCCGGGTCGCCAGGTTCGTAGCGCAGCGCGCTAACCGCTACACTATCGCTCCCCACACAGTGACACACACACAGTGACACACACATACAGTAATACAGTGCCAGACACACACGAGTATGCAAAATAACATTTGGACCCTTCATTTAATTCGTCGATTTAATCATTTAAAAATCCAAATCAAACTCCACAATCGTTTCTCTCCTCCATAAATAGCTGCGAACACAAATCAACTAAAATTTTTGATTCGAAACGCTCCGAAAGTAGCAAGCACGTTCACACCATCCTTGGATAACATTTTGAATTTGGTGGAACATTAAAAATAAATCCCTTCCCAAAGTAAGATTGGCGGTCATGATAAATGTTCCGACAGTTTTTAATACATTTGTTTAAACGTTTATATCATATCCTAGCAGACGAGGACAGCACCAGCAGTGTCCAGGAGCTCGAAGCCAATGTGGAGGTCTCTATGGGTATCTCCGAGTCTCTATGCATCTCTATACATATCGATGAGTCTCTATCCCTTGTGTCACTATGGGTCTTTATGTATTTCTATGTATATCTATGGGTATCTATGGGTCTCTATGTGTCTAGATGCAGCTCTACGTGTCTCTACGTGTCTGAACGTGCCTCGATGTATATCTATCATTGCGAATGATGGCAGCGATGACGAACGAGGAGCTCGATGATGTCAATGTGCAGGTGGTGCTGCTTCAGCTGCCGCTGCTCGCCACGACAAGATGGCTTCAGCAGAGTGAGTTCGTCTTCCCGTCGTCTTCCTCCGTCGAAGCAGCTCAGACAAATTCGGTTTCATTCATTCGACCCAGAGGCGGTGGGGGGGTCGGCGACGAGCATAACCAGAAGGGACATTTTCTTTATTTCGAGATTCGGTAACAAACCAAAAAACTCCCACGCGCAATGTCACCACGGAGCGGCGCTTAGGAGGGAGTCCGCTCGCCGCCTCGGCGCTCGATGAGACCACGTGGAGACCACGTGGTCTCATAGGCGAACACTGCTCATGGACTTGCACCCTTACATCCTATTACATCCCTACATCCTATTACATCCTATTACATCCCTACATCCTATTACATCCCTCCATCCTATTACATCCTATTACATCCATCCATCCTATTACATCCCTACATCCTATTACATCCTATTACATCCCTACATCCTATTACATCCCTACATCCTATTACATCCCTACATCTTATTACATCCCTACATCCTATTACATCCTATTACATCCTATTACATTCCTCCATCCTATTACATCCCTACATCCTATTACATCCTATTACATCCTATTACATCCCTACACCCTATTACATCCCTACATCATATTACATCCTATTACATCCTATTACAGCCCTACATCCTATTACATCCTGACATCCTATTACATCCCTACATCCTATTACATCCCTACATCCTATTACATCCTATTACATCCCTACATCCTATTACATCCCTACATCCTATTACATCCTATTACAGCCCTACATAATATTACATCCTATTACATCCCTACATCCTATTACATCCCTGCATCCTATTACATCCCTACATCCTATTACATCCCTACATCCTATTACATCCCTACATCCTATTACATCCTATTACATCCCTACATCCTATTACATCCCTACATCCTATTACATCCCTACATCCTATTACATCCTATTACATCCCTACATCATATTACATCCTATTACATCCCTACATCCTATTACATCCCTGCATCCTATTACATCCCTACATCCTATTACATCCCTACATCCTATTACATCCTATTACATCCCTACATCCTATTACATTCTATTACATCCTATTACATCCCTACATCCTATTACATCCTATTCTCAGCTGTTCAGGGGGTACAGATGCCACTGTTTGGGTTTGCCGCTGCCGCTGCTGCTGCTGCCACCAGGAGAGGGCTTCAGAGAGAGACGGAGTCCCGTGCCGTTTCGCTGTCGCTACTCCCCTGTTGAAAGAGCGCAGACCACGTTGGGTTTATGATGTTGGTCTATAGTTTGGATTGCATGGCCACAATCGCACTGCTGTGGGCTTGTCTTTAATACATCTCTATGGGTCCCGAGATGTTAACTACCTCGCCTGGTATACAGGAGGTCGTGGGTTCGATCCTGACCCGACGCCTGCTGCTGCTGTATATTTGGAGTTTGCGCGTCTCTCTCTCTCTCCCCGTAGTCGCATGGATTTTTCTCCGGGTCCTCCGGTTTTCCCCTTCACATTTAGAATCAATGTCCGGCGTTTAGAGTTATTTGGCTCCTGCTATGAATTTTTCACAGTGATGATTACGATGATCATATCATTTGTGATAGCCAGGTGGTCGCTTCTGGAAAAGAGCTACACGGCTCAGTGGGGGCCTTACACTTGGTACAAACAAACAGTTTAGTAGTTTAGTTTAGGATGGCAAGTAGCAGTGTTATCTCTTTCAGCTTAATACGGCACGACCGCAGTATTGACCGGGGCGACCTTCGTGCCGGCGTTCAAATGTGTTCCCGGGGTCGTTGCACGGAAGCGTGGAGAAGCTAAGAGCTGCGTGGAATTGACAGGGGTGTTGCGATAGATTCCGAGGCCCGACATCCGTTTGGTTTTCAATATCGCGATTGATCGCTAACATTAATAGTTGGCGCGAACTCCAAGTTGAGGGACGGGTTGCCGTGGCCCAGTCACGCCGATGCTCACGCTCGCTTGGGCGTGCGCGAAATCCTGGGGTGATATATCAAAGGCCGTGATTGTTACTACCACCAAGATTTCTACAGCTTCACTCCGCTCGATTCGCAGACCAACCCCGAGGGCGAAACAATTCATCCGTGAGTTTTACTGCGGCAATGCTGTGGGGACAGTGAATTCTCACGCGTGCTTTAAACGGAGCGGATAAACGGGGTCCGGTTGTGGATAGGCGTGGGCTACCTACGGGAGACATCACGGGCAGGAGAAGGCAACCTCTCAAGACCAGAAGAGTGGAGAACTGCAACCGTTAAATAGATCGCCTTGAATAAAGTACGTTGAACTTCTTTTCCACCGCACGTCGCCAACCGCGCTCATCGGATGTGCGTGGTGGAAAGGACGACAAGCTAAACACAACGACGACAACAACAACCACACCGTTATTTTACTACGCAACTCACAAATACCGGGACTTAATTTTTCCGGGACACACAGAGGGCCGTGACCGGGGGCCGGGGACCGGGGGCCGGGGGCCGGGGGCCATGCCGGGGGCCGTGCCAGGGGCCTGGGGCCGTGCCGGGGACCAGCACCGGACCCGAGACGTGGCTCGCGACTCGAGACGCGTTATCGGCTCCGGAGGGCCGTCGCCGCTTGGTGGCGTCGCCGCGACCGGTGCGCCTCTCCGCCCGTCCGGAGATGCGTGCCCGTCAGCCGAAGGGCCCCTGGCCCCGAAGGGCCCCTGGCCCCGAAGGGCCCCTGGCCCCGAAGGGCCCCTGGCCCCGCTGGGCCCCGAGCCACATTATGCCGCCACCCTCCTTTGGCAGGGAAGAAACAGCCCTGGAGCTCCCCATGCCGGCTCGGCTCGCCGTGTGCCAGTGGGGGAGGGAAGGAGGGGGGGTGGGGATGACATTGAGAAAACGATCCCTGGGAAAACCAGGACAGGTGGCAACCCTTCCCCCAGCCACAGGAAGTACTTCCCCCACGACTTGCTGTTGGCTAATTCCCCACCGCGGTCCCCCCCCCCCACCCCCCGCCACCCCCACCTAGAACTTGCTGAAGAGCTCCTTCTTCTTGTTCCAGTCCATGGGCGGAGCACGCTTGTTCATCCTCTTGGCCTGGGCGCGTTCCCGCGCAGCCTCCAGCGTCAGAGCGAGCGCCGGGGCCCCTCCCAGGGACCCCCCAAAGGACCGCTCCAGGGACCCCTCTGGGGAACCCCCCAGGGAACCCCCCAGGGATCCCCCCAGGGATCCCCCCGGGCTACCGCTCGGCCCCGGGAATGGGGGGCAGAGCTCAGAGTCCTGCACTGCGGGGGACTCGGCCTGCCGCCCCCTCCTCTCCTGCGCCTCTCTCTCCTCCCTCTCCTCCCTCTCCTTTCTCTCCTCCTTCTCCTTTCTCTCCCTCTCCTCTCTCTCCTCCCTCTCCTCCCTCTCCTTTCTCTCCTCCTCCTTTCTCTCCCTCTCCTCCCTCTCCTCCCTCTCCTTTCTCTCCTCCCTCTCCTCCCGCTCCTCTTCACGGTCACTTTCATCATCATCGCTCTGCTCCCTCTTCACCATCTTCCTCTCATCCCTCTCCTCTCTCTCCTGCCTCTCCCTCTCCTCCCTCTCTTCCCTCTCCTCCCTCTCCTCTTTTTTCCTCTCCTCCCTCTCCTCCTTCTCCCTCTCCTCCCTCTCCTCCTTCTCCCTCTTCTCCCTCTCCTCTCTCTCCCCCTCCTCCCTCTCCTTTCTCTCCCTCTTCTCCCTCTCCTCGCGCTCCTCTCGCTCCTTCTTGCCGTCCACCTGCGTGCACAGAAACCAAACAGAGCCATCCATCACCGGACACCAGGGTGGCAGCGCCGCTGTACAGTGGCTAGGAGATGTTAACTTAATCGCCTGATCTGCAGGAGGTCCTGGGTTCGATTCCGACCCTGACGCCTGCTGCTGCTGCTGTATATTTGGAGTTTGCGCGTCTCTCTTTCTCCCCGCGGTCGCGTGGATTTTTCTCCGGGTCCTCCGGTTTTCCCCTCCACATTTAGGTTCGAAGTCACGCGTTTAGAGTATTCGGCTGCTATAAATGTCCACACGATGATGATCAGCCCACTTCGGGTTGAACGATAATTTGTGATAGCCAGGTCGCTTCTGAAAGAAAGAGCTGCGTAGCTCAGTGTGGGGGTCATTACCTGGTGAAATAAAAAAAATCTTTATATTTTTTAGCTTTAACCTCAAAGCAACAAGGAGCTGGGTTATACTTCCGACCGGGGCGCTGCTTTTCTGCCGGGAATTTGTACGACGGGTTGTCCGATCCGGCCTGGGGCCTTCTCGAGGTCGGCCGACTCGGCCTTAAAGGGAGTACCCGGGCGTGGTGTGTAAGGACCAGTAATGGGGAGACAAAGGTGGCCTGGGCGTGGTGTTGGCCACCCAACGCCCCCTCGTGTGCCGCAGTGCCCGGCCTTCATTAGGCGCCGCTGCTGCTCGCTAACAGCTGCTCGCTAACAGCACTTTCCCCAACAGCCTGGGAATCTCTGTGTCAACGACTGGCGTTTGCGCAGTTTCTCTCTCTCGCTCGCTCTCCTTTGCGCTGTGCGGGTTTCCGCCGGCATCCTCCGGTGCCGTCCCCAATAGCTGTGCGAAAACTCAAGAAGAAGGCGCGCGGGTCAGCACTTTTATTTTCGGCCAAATTCCATCTGTGAGAATTAAAAAAAACCGAGAATCCGGTCGTCACGCCACAGAGACGCACACTGCTTCCCTCGTGCGGAGCGAGTGGGGAAAGTGCTGCCCCCTGCTGCTGCTGCTGCTGCTGCGGGGACCGGATCTGGGAATGTCAGCTGTCGCCGGGAACCTCCGAGATTCACAAACGGATTTCCCCGTTGACAAAGACATACAAAATATATAACGACGACGACGATGATGATGATGATTGTGGTGAGTCGATTGGTCGTCAGCCTGGCCACCCGCCAGAGATGGCCTAAGGAGTCGTGGGCTGCGTTGGGTTCGATGCTCTCAGGAATTCCTAACGGGATTTCATTTTCATCGCGAGAAAACTTCACGGCCAGATGAGCAAATCGCGGGAAACGGGCGGAATGACATCATCGGGAGCTAAGCAGGGGTTGAGCCTGGATAGCGCTTGGACGGACGACCGCAACTACCACCACGACCAACACCAGAAGCACCACGCCCGACCGCCTTTGTCTCCATAGTGGCGATGTGTACACACCGCACCAGGTACTCATTTGAGGCCGAGTCGAGCTAGGCGAGGCCCAGGACGGGAATTGAACTCGGGTGTCCGGGTTCGTAGCGCGGCGCGCTAACCGCCGCACCGCCGCTCACAGTGACACCCAAGATACGCGGACGACACGCGCGGCAAAGGGGACGTAAGACGACCTACCCCTGTGTCAGATGTTCCGTTGGACAGAGCTTTGGGCAAGCGACCTGCAAACGGGGGGGGAAAAGAAAAAAACCATCAAACACGCGGTATTGCAACGGCGCGGGTGGGGGGTCCGCGAGTACGTCGCAGAGCGGACACAGAAAGGATCCCCCGTGGAGTTTAACGCGGTGGAGTAAACCCGGAGTGCACGCGTCGCGTCTTTATTTTTTACCCTCCGACGCGTGACCGGGCTGCGCCGAAGCGGTGAAGGAATTGGCGCGGAGTTTCGTTCAAGTGACGGGTTGGGGTCGGCGGCGGGTTTAGCGACAGATTTAGATATTTGCGCGACCGAACCCAAAAGAGCCTCTATTATGGATGATATTGGTAGCGTGTTAAACTGACACGTCGGCGTGGGCACGCTGGTGGCTACGGTTTGCCGCGGCGGCCTCCGCGGTCGCCCGGCGCTGCCGCCGCTCGCTGACGGACAGCGAGGAGCCCCTCCAGCGGTCTGGCAAACACGGCTCCACCGAGTCGGCTCCACCGAGCAAACTCCTCCCGTCTCACGCGGTCGCCCGCACGAGGGCTCACGATGGCCACTCGTGCACAGCGGGGGGTGGGGGGGGGGGTGCTGCGGGCAGCGGGGGGCAGCCTTGGCAACAGCGTCCATAGTTATGGGGTCGCACCCACGCGTCGTGGCACACACGCACACACACACACGCACACACACACACGCACACACACACACGCACACACACGCACACACGCACGCACACTAACGCACGCACGCACACTAACACACGCACACACACTAACACACGCACGCACGCACACGTGCACACACACGCACGCACACACACTAACACATGCACACACACGAACACACACACACGCACACACACGCTCGCACACGCACGCACACGCACACGCGCACACACACGCGCACACACACGCTCGCACACAAACGCACGCACACAAACGCACATACACGCGCATGCGCCCACACACACACGCACACGCGCATGCACACGCGCACACACAAGCACACACACACGCACATGCTCGCACACAAACGCACGCACACAACCACAGAAGGAAGCCTGGCACGTACGCACACACGCGCGCACTCACATGCACACGCACACACCCGCGCACACGAGCACGCACACATGCACACACATGCACGCACACGCGCATGCACATAAACACACACGCACACATGCACGCACACACGCACGCACACACGCACGCACACATGCAAAAACGCACGCACGCGGTTTGGCATGTTTAAACACATGGACGCATGCTTGCTGTTGAACCCAGCTTTTGTCAGTGCAATGCAATGCCTTAATTGTATTGAAGAGCATGCCGTAACGCACTACAATTGACTACTGCGTGCTCCAATGCACTGCATTGTCGTGCGCAGTAGTCCATTGTATTGTATTGCAGTGCATTGCATTGCATTACACTGTAATGTGTTACATTGTAGAAACACTGTTTTGTATGACATTGCATTGCTGTGTACTGCAACATCGCATTGAATTACATCGCACTGCAATGCAAGTAACACCACCACCATGCATCACACAACATGTCACACCACCACCACGCATGACACAACCACCACGTGTGACACCACCACCACCATGCGTCACACCACCACGAGTGACACAGTGCATCACACCACCACCACGCGTCACACCGCCACACGTCACACCCCGCGTCACGCCACGCGTCACACCGCGCTGACCTTTCACGTGGCTGGGCGTCGGCTCGACTCCGCACTTGGCGAAGAAGTCGTCGGCAACGCGGTCGACCAGCAGCAGCGTGACGTCGTCCTTCCTGGCCTTCACCAGGGCCACCACCTGCGAGTGCTTCTTGCCCGCGATGCTCTGCCCGTTCACCTGCATGGGCGCGGGCGGCGCGCGCTTAGCCAGGGGCACCCGTTAACACGGCGCGACAACAGTGGCGATGACGATGATGATGAAGACAACGACAATGATGATGATGATTACAATGACGTCGACAACAATAACATCAATTATAATGACGATGACGACAATGATGATGACGAAGAAGACGACTATGATGTTGACAAGAATAGCATCAATGATGACGACGACGACGATGACGATGATGTCGACAACAATAACATCGACGATGACGGCGACGAAGAGGGATGAGGCCTCGCGAAAGATAGAGCGAAGGGGGCTTCAAGGCCTCGGGTCGGGGCACGGCCTAGGCACCAACATCGCATCACAACCGACCCATTGTCCCACCGCAAGCTCCAGACTCAGGCCTCAACCATTTCGGCGGGCAATGCCCCACGGAGCTGAGGAGCAGCTCCGTCGGCACGAAAACCGCAGTGAAAAAAAAACGATGGCTTAAACCTTGACCCTGCGCTTAATTCTTTGGCTAAACTCCAGCTCTGAGAATTATAAATATTGGGTCGACTGTCACACGACGAGCGGTCGGTTACTCTCGGTATTGCCAAGTGGGCGGGCAAGTTCTGCCCTCTACCGGGTGGATCAAAAATCACTTGAATGGATCTCAGAGGGAGGAGACCGAGTCTGAGTGTTTTGAGACTCTGCTCCAGGAGACCGGGTCTCAGGGACTTGAGACTCTGCTCCAGGAGACCGGGTCTCAGGGTCTTGAGACTCGGCTCCAGGAGACCGGGTCTCAGGGTCTTGAGACTCTGCACCAGGAGACCGGGTCTCAGGGTCTTGAGACTCTGCACCAGGAGACCGGGTCTCAGGGTCTTGAGACTCTGCTCCAGGAGACCGGGTCTGAGTGTTTTGAGACTCTGCTCCAGGAGACTGGGTCTCAGGGACTTGAGACTCTGCTCCAGGAGACTGGGTCTCAGGGTCTTGAGACTCGGCACCAGGAGACCGGGTCTCAGGGTCTTGAGACTCTGCTCCAGGAGACCGGGTCTCAGGGTCCTGAGACTCTGCTCCAGGAGACCGGGTCTCAGGGTCTTGAGACTCTGCTCCAGGAGACCGGGTCTCAGGGTCCTGAGACTGCTCCAGGAGACCGGGTTATTGTATTTTGTTAACTTCACTGAAATGTCGCGAGTGTGGAAATGTGAGTGGCGAGACAGCAATGGAAGTTATGTAAGCTCGATTTATATACCATTTGTTTTATCCGATTGCACGGAGGTTGACTTTGTACTCTGAAGATTCCGTAAGCCCTGCTGAATCATCGGCCCGCCCGTTGCCTCACATTTACATTGAAATATTGACGCGTGTGTGCGTGTGTATGTGCGTGTGTGTATGTGCGTGCGCGTGTGTGTGTATGTGTGTGTGTGTATGTGTGGGTACGTGTGTTGTGTAGTGGTTAGTGCGCTGCGCTACGAATCTGGCGATCCGGTTTCGGTTCCTGCTCATGGCCAATACCAGTGACGATTATTTGAACCGGTTCTGGGCCTCCCCTAGGTCGGCTCAGCCTCAAATGAGAACCTGGTGCGGTGTGTAAACACCGCGACTGGGAAGACAAAGACGGTCGGGCGTGGTGCTGGCCACCTACCCCCTCGTGTCCCGTGCTGGCCTTCATAGGTCCTCGCTAACAGCACTTTCCCCTACAGTCTGTTCAGGCTATATGGGGGATCTTTGTCTTTGTATGTGTGCGTGTGTGTTTGCATGTGTGTGTGTGCATGTCGCGTGCCACCCTTCATAGGAGCTCGCTAACAGCAACCGCCGCTCGGCTCTTTAAATCCATAACTGTGGGTAGTTTTATTTGTGTGTGTGGGCGTGGTGCTGGCCACCTACCTCTTTGTGTGTGCCATGTTGGCCTTCACAGGTGCTACTCGCGAACAGCACTTGCCCCAACAGTCTGTTAAGGCTACACGGGGGATCTTGGTCTTTGTTGGTACAATGGGAAACACAGCTGGTGCACCGGGCAGTGATGTCAGTCAGTCAACCGCGTGACACCACTGGGCCCCAAAGGAACAAAGCACCTGCCCGGGTGTGTTGTGGCATCAAACGCTCCACCCATTCAGCTCTCTGGGCATTGGAGTGTTTTGTAGAGAGAGTGGAGTGGTTGTGGAGTGGAGATCCTATACCTGGGCAGTGTGCTCAGGGGACCAGCTTGTGGTTTGGCAGCGGAGGTGTCAGGGGCGCCACGGTGGCTAGGAGATGTTAACTACCTCGCCTGGCACACAGGAGGTCGTGGGTTCGATCTCGACCCTGACACCTGCTGTATATTTGGAGTTTGCGTGTCTCTCCCTCTCATCATCATCACAGTGACTAGGAGATGTTAACTACCTCGCCTGGCATACAGGAGGTCGTCGGTTCGATCCCGACCCTGACGCCTGCTGTATATTTGGAGTTTGCGTGTCTCTCTCTCTCATTATCATCACAGTGGCTAGGAGATGTTAACTACATCGCCTGGCACACAGGAGGTCGTCGGTTCGATCCCAACCCTGACGCCTGCTGTATATTTCGAGTTTGCGTGTCTCTCTCTGTCGTCATCATCATCATCACAGTGACTAGGAGATGTTAACTACCTCGCCTGGAATACAGGAGGTCGTGGGATCGATCTCGACCCTGACACCTGCTGTATATTTGGAGTTAGCGTGTCTCTCTCTCTCATAATCATCACGGTGGCTAGGAGATGTTAACGACCTCGCCTGGCATGCAGGAGGTCGTGGGTTCGATCCCGACCCTGACGCCTGCTTTATATTTGGAGTTTGCGTGTCTCTCTCTCTCTCTCATTATCATCACAGTGGCTAGGATATGTTAACTACCTCGCCTGGCATACAGGAGGTCGTCGGTTCGATCCCGACCCTGACGCCTGCTGTATATTTGGAGTTTGCGTGTCTCTCTCTCTCATCATCATCACAGTGGCTAGGAGATGTTAACTACCTCGCCTGGCATACAGGAGGTCGTCGGTTCGATCCCAACCCTGACGCCTGCTGTATATTTGGAGTTTGCGTGTCTCTCTCTGTCATCATCATCATCACGGTGGCTAGAAGATGTTAACTACCTCGCCTGGCATACAGGAGGTCGTGGGTTCGATCTCGACCCTGACACCTGCTGTATATTTGGAGTTTGCGTGTCTCTCTCTCTCCCAGCGGTTGCATGGATTTTTTCTCCGGGCCCTCCGGTTTTTCCCTCCACATTTGCAAATAACACCATGCGTTTGGAATGTTTGGCTGAAAAAGAGCTATGTAACTCAGTGGGCCCTAACTGGCAAAATAAAAATAGCCGAGTTTAGTTTAGTCACTTCAAATCAGTTGAACGGCATTACCTCTCCGTCACCTGCGTAACACTGCTGTGTGAAAGCTGCGTGGTGGTCCTGTCTGAACCTCAGGGTCTTTTCGGTCACATCTCCCGCCATCTCTTCCCTGTGCTTGCGATGCGTGAACCCCTTTTAAGGTAAACATCTGCGCTGGCTAGAAACATTCAGGCTGGCCTGTCCACGATCCATCCCGGGTTTAAGCAGACTGGATTGTGCGACGAGCTCGCAGATCCTCGAAAGACCTGGACACAATCTCATTGGTGAGCACCCCCGGCAGGCGAGGCTGCATTGGCTGGGTTACGTAGCCCGCGTGCCCGGCCAACGCATGCCCAAAGCAGCTGCTGCTTGGCCAGATCGAGAGAGTGCGGGGATTCTAAACGGCCACGGCACGGGCCAGAGAACACAGCGGGATGCTGAGCTGAGTGAACTTGCAGATGACCCGTTGTCGAGATCGCCCTCTCTGAAGGAGACTCACCCTGGTCCCATAGACTCACACTAATCCCATAGACTCACCCTGATCCCACAGACTCACACTGATCCCATAGACTCACACTGATCCCATAGACTCACACTAATCCCATAGACTCACACTGTCCCCCTAGTGCTGGTGACTTCGCTAGGGGGAGTGGGTGCAATGAGGGGTGAGTGAGTGGGGGGAGTGGGTGGGGGGAGTGGGTGGGGGGAAAAGTGAATGGGAGAGGGAGTGGGGGGGAGGCGATGAGGGGGGTAAGGGGAGTGAGTGGGGAGGAGGGAGTGAGGGGATTGAGTTGGGGGGGGCGATGAGGGGGGGGGGCGGGGGGAGGAGGGAGTGGGGGGGGTGGGGGTTAGGGGGGGGGGTGCCCCCACCTGCACGATGCGGTCGTGAGCGAGGATGCCGGCTGTGTGTGCGGGGGAGTCTGCATCGACGGAGCGCACGAACTGCCCCACGCGGCCCTTCTCGGCGTGGAGGTGGAAGCCGTAGCCCCTGGGGCCGCGCGGCACGACGCACAGACGCGGCCTCACGGCGCCCTTGGGGAGACACAAGCGTTACGCAGAGGGACACGTGGGGAGAGAGACACGGGGAGACACAAGCGTTACGCAGAGCGACACGTGGGGAGAGAGACACGGGGAGACAAGCGTTACGCAGAGGGACACGTGGGGAGAGAGACACGGGGAGACACAAGCGTTACGCAGAGGGACACGTGGGGAGAGAGACACGGGGAGACACAAGCGTTACGCAGAGGGACACGTGGGGAGAGAGACACGGGGAGACACAAGCGTTACGCAGAGGGACACGTGGGGAGAGAGACACGGGGAGACACAAGCGTTACGCAGAGGGACACGTGGGGAGAGAGACACGGGGAGACACAAGCGTTACGCAGAGGGACACGTGGGGAGAGAGACACGGGGAGACACAAGCGTTACGCAGAGGGACACGTGGGGAGAGAGACACGGGGAGACACAAGCGTTACGCAGAGGGACACGTGGGGAGAGAGACACGGGGAGACACAAGCGTTACGCAGAGGGACACGCGGGGAGAGAGACACGGGGAGACACAAGCGTTACGCAGAGGGACACGTGGGGAGAGAGACACGGGGAGACACAAGCGTTACGCAGAGGGACACGCGGGGAGAGAGACACGGGGAGACACAAGCGTTATGCAGAGGGACACGTGGGAAGAGAGACACGGGGGAGGGGGACACGGGGGAGAGAGACACATGGAAGATCACACGTTATGCAGAAAGACGTGCGGGGAAGAGAGACGCGGCCGAGAAGGAAACGGGGTAGAAAAGAGACGAGCATGCTCCAGGTTCTGCAGCAGAGTCTCCAACTCCTTCAGAGAGTGAGCAGCCGTTACCAGATCACCAGCAAGCATAACGTGGTTGACCAGTAGGCAGCCATCCCTTGACCAGATCCCGCTGCCTTTATCCCCCAATGTTGATGTGTACACACTGCATCAGTTTATTTATTTGAGGCCCAGGACCAGGTCAGATATTCATCACCGATGTTGGTTATGGCCGGCAATCAAACTCGGATCACCGGGTTCGTAGCGCAGTGCAATGACGGCTCCACTACCGCTCTACACACAAAGACAAGGACAAAGATCCCCCGTGTGGCCTTAACAGGCTGTTGGGGCAAGTGCTGTTAGCCCAGCACCTATGAAGGCCGGCACGGCGCACGAGGGGGTGGGTGGTCAGCACCAAGCCCGGCCGCCTGTTTCCCCACTGCTAATCTTTCCACACCGCACCAGGTACACATTTGAGGCTGAGTCGACCTAGGGGAGGCCCGGGACGGGTTCAGATAATCGTCGCCGGTGTTGGCCGTGAGCGGGAATCAAACTCGGGTCGCCGGGTTCGTAGCGCAGCGTAGCGCTAACTTATGCGCCACCGCTTCCCACCCACACAGATGCACACACACACACACACGCACAAAGACAAAGATCCCCCCGTGTAGCCTTAACAGACTGTCGGGGCAAGTGCGACGTTAACTCCACGCCGTCAGCAGGTGCTCGTTTGAGGCCGAGTCGACCTAGGGGGAGGCCCCGGAGCGGTTTGGGGAATCGTGACCGGTGTTCGGTGGCCCGCCAGCGGGAATCAAAGATTGCTCCGTTGCGTAGCAGCGCGCTGCTTCCCACCCACGCGCACGCAAGAGGGAGCGGGCGAGCGAGCTCACGGGGACATTCCTGAAATTTTAGCTCGAGAATTTCGGCTGAGAGCTTTTGATAAAGAGCGACTCCCCCTCTCCACTCCCACCACTCGGGCTAACTCCGTGCCTGACACGGCCATTTTGACCCCCCCCCCCCCCCGCCCGCCACCCACCAGGAAACCCACTTTGAGGGGTAAATACAACAGCGCCAAGAACATGAACCCTGAACCCGGCATCACGGTGGTTCTGGCTGCTGAGCCATTATCAATCGACTTTGTTCATTTATTTGGGCCACGGTGGTGTGGTGTTATTTTCCTCGCCTGGTATACAGGAGGTCGTGCGTTCGATCCCGACCCTTACGCCTGCTGTGCATTTGGAGTTTGCGTGTCTCTCTCTCTCATCATCATCACGGTAGCTAGGAGATGTTAACGACCTCCTCTGGTATAGGTTTGGTCCCAACCCTGACAGTGCCTGGTGTACATTTGGAGTTTGCGTGTCTCCCTCCCCGCGGTCGCGTGGATTTTTAGTTTCTCTGGGTCCTCCGGTTTTTCCCTCCACATATAGAACCATGCATTGAGATGACTTAGATTATTTTTCTGCTATAAATGTCTAAATGATGGGGCCACTTTGTTGAGCTGTCATTCGTGGCCAGGTCGCATCTGAAAAACAATTTAAGTGGGTTTTGTCTGGCAGGGTGGGGATGGTTTTGTGTTGTATCTGTGTTTGGGTGATTTGTTTACTTTTCTTGTACTTTGTACTCCTGTCGTGTCTTTGTAACTGTGTTTGTTATTGTAACGTTCTTAGCCCGTGCTCACAACTGGAGATCTATGAAAAAGGAGTTCCACAGCCCAATCGGATTCCTCCTGCAGTCTAAATAAATATTCAGATTCTGAATCTACTGAGACAGCGGGGAGACACCCAGACTCATCGGGGCTCAAACCCAGGATTTTCGTGTTACTGCCTCAGGGTCTCTGGCACAGCCGTTTATGAACCCCCCTGAGAGTGAGGGGGAGTGAGGGGGACTCAAACACAGGAGCCTGAACCTTGAACGAAGGGTGTCACCATTGCTGGTTCAGCATTACCAACACGACCATTGTGAACCGCCCGAGAGAGACCCAGACCTGGGGATTGAACCCAGGTTCTCAGTGGTTCTGTCTCAGTGTCTCTGACAAGGCCATTGTAAACCTCCCGAGAGAGACCCAGACCTGGGGATTGAACCCAGGTTCTCAGTGGTTCTGGCTCAGTGTCTCTGACAAGGCCATTGTAAACCTCCCGAGAGTGACGCAGACCTGGGGATTGAACCCAGGTTCTCAGTGGTTCTGGTTCAAATGTCTCCGATACGCCCAATGTGAGCCCCGTGATTGTCTTCATCTCTGCCAAGTTGATAATCTGTCCGCTGGCTTGCGTGCTGTTGCGTTTAAGAGGATTAACAGCTCACGGAGCAACAACAATAAATAATAATTAATCAGAACCAATGTAGGGGCTTTGCATTCCGACACAACAAAGAACTTAATTACATTTACATACAGGAACAAAGTGTCCTTTGGTTAGCCAGGTCCAGCAACTTGCACTACCTGTTTGTGTATGCACCCATTCAAAGTGCACAAAGATCCCCCGTGTAGCCTTTAACAGACTGTTGGTGCAAGTGCTGTGAGCGAGTAAGCACCTACGAAGGCCGGCACGGTGGTGTCGTGGTTAGAGCGCTGTGCCGCACACCGCACCGGTGAGACGTGTCCAGCCGGGAGCGTGGTGCAGGCCACCAACCCCTCGTATGTCATGCCGGCACTGCCCTCTGACACCTCCGATTAGCACGGTTGGCTACGCACGGTGCGAAAGAAGTTCGACATGCATACGTAGGCGCTGCTCGCTAACAGAACTTGCAAGAATTAGTTCGCTAAGGCTATACGGGGGATCTTTGTTTTGAATGATGGCCAGAGGGTAGTGAGGGTGGCCGGGCTTGGTGCTGACCACCCACCCCCTCGTGTGCCGTGCCGGCCTTCATAGGTGCTGGGTTAACAGCACTTGCCCCAACAGTCTGTTAAGGCCACACGGGGGATCTTTGTCCTTGTCTTTGTGTGTAGAGCGGTAGTGGAGCCGTCATTGCACTGCACTATGAAACCCGGTGATCCGAGTTTGATTGCCGGCCATAAGGAGGCTCATGAAGGACGCTGCTGCGACTGGGCAGTTGGAGGCAGTCGCCCTCCTCCAACAACAACAACGGAGGGCAGAGGAGCGACGCTCACAACAACGAGCGGAGCGCCGGGGCGGCTAAAACGCAGGCAGGTTGGCCCAGTAGGGGGGCACGGCTGGAGGCGCGTCTACCGGTCATCTCGGTCAGTCAACCCGTGGCACAGCCTGGGTCTGTCCCGTGACCTCCTCCTGTCAGCAGCGAGGAGTTGGACACTTCACGCGACAGCCTCCAAGTGCACCCAGCCTGGCACAGGCGCTGAGGCGACGTCACCGTCACTTAGTGGCGAATGGCGGCGATGGGGGTGTAGTTGAGGGTGTAGCTAAGAGTGTAGGTGAGAGTGTAGCTGAGGGTGTAGTTGAGGGTGTAGCTGAGAGTGTAGCTGAGGGTGTAGCTGAGAGTGTAGCTGAGGGTGTAGCTGAGGGTGTAGCTGAGGGGGTAGCTGAGGGTGTAGCTGAGAGTGTAGCTGAGAGTGTAGCTGAGAGTGTAGCTGAGGGTGTAGTTGAGGGTGTAGCTGAGAGTGTAGCTGAGTGTGTAGCTGAGGGTGTAGCTGAGAGTGTAGCTGAGGGTGTAGCTGAGGGTGTAGTTGAGGGTGTAGCTGAGAGTGTAGCTGAGGGTGTAGTTGAGAGTGTTGAGGGTGTAGCTGAGAGTGTAGCTGAGGGTGTAGCTGAGGGTGTAGCTGAGAGTGTAGCTGAGGGTGTAGCTGAGGGTGTAGCTGAGGGTGTAGTTGAGAGTGTAGCTGAGAGTGTAGCTGAGGGTGTAGTTGAGGGTGTAGTTGAGCGTGTAGCTGAGGGTGTTTTTGAGGGTGTAGTTGAGGGTGTAGTTGAGGGTGTAGTTGAGGGTGTAGCTCAGGGTGTAGCTGAGAGTGTAGCTGAGGGTGTAGTTGAGGGTGTAGTTGAGCGTGTAGCTGAGGGTGTTGTTGAGCGTGTAGCTGAGGGTGTTGTTGAGGCTGTAGCTGAGGGTGTTGTTGAGTGTGTAGCTGAGGGTGTTGTTGAGGGTGTAGCTGGGGGTGTAGCTGAGTGTGTAGCTGAGGGTGTTGTTGAGGGTGTAGCTCAGGGTGTAGCCGAGGGTGTAGCTCAGGGTGTAGTTGAGTGTGTGGGGAGCGGTAGTGTAGCAGGTTAGTGCTACGCCGTGCTACGAACCCAGCGAACCCGAGTTCGATTCCCACTCACGGCCACCAACACCACCGGTGACGATCATTTGAACCGGCCCTGGGCCTCCCCGAGGTCGACTCGGCCTCAAATGAGTACCTGGGTACGGTGCGTAAAAACATCGCCACTGGGGGAGACAAAGGCGGCCGGGCGTGATGCTGGCCACCCACCCCGGCTCGCGCGCCCCTGAGCCGGTAGCGTTCCGTAGGCGCCGCTCGCCAAGGGCACTTGCCACGATAGTCTGCTAACGTCTACAACGGGGAGGGCTTGGGGGACCTTTGTCTTTGCTGAGCGTGTCCTACTCTGCCAAGGGGTCATAATCGACGGAGCAAAGGTCCAGGGGTGGCGGGTCCAACGCCCACGCGAGACAACGGCAACACGCCCAGCGCGCCCGGCGTCATCGCAAATTCCTCACGAGCCCCGCTTGAATGTGCGGACGCTGAACGTCTTCTTCTTGGGCACCGCACGCGGCCACCCACGGTGGAACGGAGGTGCCGGCGGGTGGGGTGTGGGGGGGGAACAAATTACGTGCAACTAACAACAAGCATTTCTCGGGAAATGAGTTCTCAATGTTGTAAAGTGGTGTGGTGTAGAGTAGTGTAGTGCATAGTGGTGCAGTGTTTTGTAGTGTAATGTAGAGCGTATAGTCCATAATAGAGGTTTTTTGGGTGAGATCGCGTAAATATGTAAATGTTGTGTCGTTCAAACCCGCCACCACCCGACACAGCCAACTAGTAAGGGTTATCACGTAAACAGAACGTGGCCAATTCATATCTAGTACAGCACTAGTGTATAGTGTAGTGTATAGTAGTGTATAGTGTAGTGTATAGTAGTGTAGTGTATAGTGTAGTGTATAGTGTAGTGTATAGTGTAGTGTATAGTAGTGTATAGTGAGTGTATAGTGTAGTGTATAGTGTAGTGTATAGTAGTGTAGTGTATCGTGTAGTGTATAGTGTAGTGTATAGTAGTGTAGTGTATAGTGTAGTATACTAGTACACCACACCGGTGTGTTAGAGAGCCAAGCCTCAACATTTACAATCTGAGTGCGACGTTTCACCAGTAATTACAACCAGCTTCATCAGGCGACAGCCAGATTTGTGGAGATGTCCACCTGTTTCGTTCCTTATGTAGAGGCGTAGATGTGATTACTGAGTCAACGTATATGATACATGTGCATTAAGCCGAGCCCTTTGAACTTGTCCTTCCTGTCTATTGTGTGTTTTAAAGTAGCTGTACCAACCGTAATCCCTGGTGAAGTACGGTGCCCTTCATAGGCATGCATTTAAACAATGTATCATTTGATGATTCGCTTCCACGCAGCACTGAGGCGGTAGCTATCTGAACGGTTTAAGTTATTTTTATTTCTTTCAATTTCGATTAGTCTTGGCCAGTAGCAGCTAGTTTTGCACAGAACTTCAACATTATCAAAATCAATTGAGTGTCCTTGTTGGCAAGCGTGTTCTGCTACTGCTGACAGTTGTATTTGGGAGAATTTAATATTTCTCTGATGTTCTTTTAGTCTCGTGCTGATCATTCGTCCTGTTTGCCCAACGTAACATTTACCACACGTGCAGTTAATCCTGTACGCACCTTCTGTGAATAGCTTCGGAAATACATATTTTGATCGTTTTCATTAAGTAATTAAAATGACACCCTCATTTGTGGTGTATAGTAGTGTAGTGTATAGTGGTGTAGTGTATAGTTGTAGTGTATAGTGGTGTAGTGTACAGTGGTGTAGTGTATAGTGTAGTGTACAGTGGTGTAGTGTACAGTGGTGCAGTGCATAGTGTAGTGTATAGTAGTGTATCGTGGTATAGTGTATAGTGTCGTGTATAGTGTAGTGTGTAGTATAGTGTATATTGGTGTAGTGTATAGTATTGTAGTGTATAGTAGTGCATAGTGTACTGCATAGTAGTGTGGTATATAGTAGTGTAGTGTATAGTAGTGTAGTGTATAGTGGTGTAGTAGTGTAATGTATTGTTTAGTAGTGTAGTGTGTAGTGTACAGTGGAGTGTATAGGAGTATTATGTTGAACTTCTTTTGCACCGTACGCAACCAACCGTGCTAATTGGAGGTGCGGGTGGGGGAAAGGACAACAAGCTAAGCACAAGAAGCCGTTTGGGTCTCCAAAGTCACACAGCCTCGGCACCAGCAACAACGGCACCGTCGGCAGCCACGGTCAATCCCCTGCCGGATGTCCTTCAAGTGACCAGGAAAATGGCGACAGTTAGAAGGCTCTCGTTTTCAAGGAGGGTTGTTGCCTTGAGACAGTGATCCAGATCTGCTAAGAGCCTTGGGTCTGGGTGTCTCTCTCTCGTGGTACATAATGGCCGCGTCGGAGACAGTGATAAAACACTGTCAAAAGCCAGAGCCGATTTCTCACCTTAAACCCATTAACAATGAAAACATTGTCGTCGCAACTGGGAAACAAGTAGATTAAAATCACACACACACACAGCGTGTGCAGCATTGCATGCACAAACAAGCTATCTCAGTCTTTGCCGGACAACCACCAGCTCCAAAAGAATTGACTGTGTGGCCACCGTATGGCCATCGGGCGGTTCCAACCCCCCACCACGGCGGAGAGGTTGATTCCTCCCAATTGCGAACGTTGACAAGCGTCTGCACCGCAGCACATCCGCACAAATCGAATTCAATCAGCTTATTCAAATCTGAACTGAAGGCCTCTTTTTTTTTGTCCAGGCATACGCTGGCAAATGGGCATTTATGTGATGGGTCCAAGTGGCTCGTAAACTTTTAGGCCACTCCGTCACCACCCTCCCTCCTGTGAAGGTTCTCTGAAACCCGGTGAAGTGTTGGGATTGTGGTCTGGGGGGGGGGGTACAACAGGGGAGGTAGAGACCGAACGGATGTTTTATTTATTTATTTACTCGGTGACGATCATTTTACTTGTCACGTGCGTGCCTTTTTTATCTCTCGCTATTTGAGGATTCACCTTTTGGGTTTTCCGATTTGCCTACGCGGGCCGGGGCGCTTTGTGCTTTTGTAACGTCCGCGTACGGGACCGGCGAATTTGCTGTTGCAGCGTTGTGGGACAATTGCGTGAACGACGCTCTGTAAAATTAAATCATTATCGTTGTTATTGTTGTAAAGGCACTGTGCTGATGACGAGTCCCCAGCAAGGGCTAAAAGCTGTCGCCACCGCCCGTCGGGGAAAATTTTTCCCTCCATTTTACTCTTTTTGAGCCGTCGGTTTCCGACGACCGAAATGGGCCACGCATTCCGGCCCGTCCCGAGCTGGTGGTCTGGGGCAAAGCCGAGAGGGCTGTGCTGCTGCGTGCCCCGTAAAAAAAAAAATCCACTTGGGCGGCAACAAAACATCCGGGGACTGGCGAAGGCAGCGCGCGCTGTTACCTCCTCTCCATCGCTGTCGCCACTGCTGTCGCGATCCTGCTGCTGATGCTGCTGCTGATGCTGCTGCTGCTGACCGTGGTGGTGGTCGTCGTCGTCGTCCTTGTCCTCATCGTCGCGCTGCTTCTTCTGACCGAGGAGGCCCGCCTCGTCGCCGCCTTCCTTCTCGGAGCCTCCGCGAGCCGGCACTGCGTCGATGCCGAGGAGGCTCCCGGCCGCCGTGGTGGCCCGTCGCTCGGCCAGAGCCTCGTCCGCCTCCCGGTCGATGACGAGCAGCGTGGTCTCGCCCGGCTTCTCCTTGATGATGCTCACCACCTCCTGGTGGCTCTTGGCCTCCACGTTGACTCCGTTCACCTCCAGGATGCGGTCGCCGGCGCGCACCCCGGCCAGTTCGGCGGCCGAGCCCGGCTCCACCTTGTGGATGAACTGGCTCAGCCTGACCTTGTCAGAGTGCAGGTGAAAGCCGTAGCCGGCCTTGGCCTTGACGATGCGGCAGAGGCGAGCGGACGCATCGTAATTCTCGTCCATGGTCTCCCGGTGAGAGAGAGGAGAGAGGAGAGAGATGATGACGACGACGACGATGACGACGGTGACGGTGGTTCCTTCGCGGGGGTCAGGAGAGGGAGGAGCGAGGGGGTCAGGAGCAGCGACGGACTAAACGTCGGGCCCCGAGGCCGAGCTGTAAAGACTCCAGAGGCCCAGATTGCCGCGCGATCCTCAGCGAGGAAGAATCTTTGGCAGGGGGGGCTGCCTAATGTGGTGGTGGGGACTTAATGCCAAATGGAGATCACAGATAAGCGACGGAGCGTAACGCATTGTAGAGGTAATACGACATTTTAAATGAACTCTGATCATGAAAAATAAGAATAGGTTTTACCCTTTCTGGCAATACAACAGGTCTTAAAATGTTCAAACGCCAAACAAAGATACAGCTGCTGCTCACCCTGAGCTATAAATGATCCGATGCGTGTGGCATTGTCTTTGTACTGTTCATCTATTTGGCATTGTTCTCTGGTCTGACACTGGTGGTGAGTCTAGGCCATGAAGGTGGCTGCTGTCTCTGGTGTAGGCCAATCAGTTTCAAAGACAATGGATGTAGATTATCGGAGAATTTTGACACGTCGGCTTTCGCGACCAATTTCCTCCAGAATACAGGTTTTATCATGATTTTAGTAGACACAATCGACAGCAAGCACACGAACAATGGACGTGCAGAATGTACATTGATTACCATACACATAACCCTAACGGCAATGCATTTATATGCATTAATTAAACCCCCCCTCCCCACTTCGTGCAAGAAGAGCACACAAGTATGGTCATTGCATCTACCCCTCTATTTAAGGAACGAAACAGGAGGATGTTTTCACTAATCTGTCTGTCGCCTGATGAAGCTAGTTGTAATTACTGGCTAAACGTCGTACTCGAATTGTAAATGTTGTGGCTTTGCTCTCGGACACACCGGTGTGGCTGTACTAGTATACTACACTATACACTACACTATACACTATATACTACACTACTATACACTACACTATACACTACACGCTAGTGCTGTACTAGTGACAAATTGGCATGTTCTGTTTTATTTGACAACCCTTACTAGTTGGCTGTGTCGGGTGGTGGCGGGTTTAACGACACATTTATATATTTACGCGATCTAACCCAAAACATGTCCTGTATTGTGGATTATCAGAGCATGTTTGTTTGCATGTTTTGCCACAAGTACCGTGTGGTTAATGCGGTACTTAATGTCTTGCAAAAGTTTTAATCTATTTGGTGTTTGAACATCTTAACACAACTTCTGTTGAATTTCCAGGAAGAAGTCAAACCTATTTTTAGTTTTCATGTTTATGATTACTGGAAAAAAAATGTCCCCCATAGAGAGAGACTCTAACCCAGCGGTTCTTAAACCTTTTCTGCAGCCTTGCACTCCCTCGGTTCTCAATCGTAAAAAAAAAATGATGTTAATAAACACACAGGCTTGATGAAACAAATTAAGTTGTATCACGGGACCTTTATACCAATGTCACAGCCTCTATCTGGTGTAGGCCAATCAGTTTCAAAGACAATGCCATCATATGTTACCACAACACGTGTTGTTTGCATGTTCACCGCAAGCACTCAGTGCGCTGTTAATGCATCAACTTGATGGTTCTAGTTGGGGTTTGAACAATTTAACACGAGTCCCGTTTTATAGCCATGAAGGGGTAAAACACATTCTCATTTCTCAAAGTAAGTTGTGGCTTATGTTGCCCGTGCCTTAATTTGCGTCTTTGATGATTTACCTTCGGAAAAAGATCTGGCCACGTCTCGCAACCCCCCAGAAAGGGCATCACGCAGCCCCAGGCGGTGCCTGATGCACCCCCAGGTTAAGAAGAAGAACCACTTCTCTGTGCTCTTATTAATTACCAGTTCGTAATGCCTGTCTGCGCCAGGCAAAAGTTGTCAATAAATATACTAATCAACCCGATATGAGTTGTTTACAATTCCTATCTACGATCAGACACTTGCAACTACTCAAAACATTTGGTATTCTTCCAACAACAAAAAATGTGTTGACTTGATTCAACTTCTTCTTTGGTTCTTTCGGTAAAGTCACGTAGAATGATAATAAAATAAAAAAATAAAATTCTCACGACGTTTCGGCCACAACACAAGTGGCCTTCTTCAGGTGAAAGGAACAAACCCGTCGGGACGACAGAGCTACAATGAACGCTGCTAAGATTTGCAGCGTCTTTTAAGCTGGTTGAGAGAAGTGAGGCACCTTGACAAAGGGGTTTACATATCAAACAGGAGAATTTAGCATTGAAACAGTTTAGGGATTAGCTTGTGACTGGTCACAGAAATAGCTATGTTAAAGTCAAAGCCTACACATCTACAGAGGCACCTCGTACATGGATGCCAAAGGGGCTGCAACAACTCAACTATCATACAGTAAACCGATGTGAAAAAAACCTAAGTCTAAATTACATCAATATAATAAATGTACTCAATATATTCTTCAATAAGCAGAGCTATTAACAGCAACTGGGCATACACTACAGTATATAATGAATACCACATAGTAAACAGATAAAAAACTAAAATATAAACTACCTCAATGTTATCAATAAACTCTATGCATTCTCCAATCAGCTGAGCTACCAACAATAAGTCGTTATATATCACGATGCTATATGGCGAAATAATGGGTGGATTCTTACCCTCCACATTAGCACCACGGACCGCTACGAGCCCCGTTCAGACAGACGAGTCCATCATGGTCGGAACAGAGGAGAGAAACACCTGCGAGGCGCTGTTATAATCATGTTATAAACCATACCATTAACCGTGGTGCGAGAAGTATTAAGAGTCAATGCCAGCGAAAGAGCTGCGGTCTGAAGATCACCATAAAATAATTAATTAAGAACCAAAATGGTTTAAAACATCTTTCCAATGGTTACTAAGCCAGAATCCATCTTCTCGGTTGAAATTGTCTCTGTGCTTGTATATGTGGATAGCCTCATGAACGAATCTCTCATGGTAGCCGGTTGGCTTGCAAAGAACCTCCGTCTTGGAGAAGTCAATGTCATGTGAGCCAACTGAATTATAACAGTGATCTGCCACGGTGGAGGAGTTCGTTCTACTGTGTTTCAAGTCTGCTTTATGTTCGCGGATGCGGTCCGAGATATGTCGTTTTGTTTCTCCAATGTAGCTACTACCACAGAGGCACTTTAGTTTGTAAACGCCCGGGTACTGTATGTCTGGAACAGCATCTTTTACAGATGGAACCAGATCACGAATTTTATGTACTGTGTTGAATCGGATCTGGATCTTGTGTTTATTCAGGATTTTGGAGATCTTTTTAGTGACCCCTGCAATGTAGGGTAAGGTGATGGTTTTGAGTGGCTCCACAAGAGGATCCTTCTTCATGACTGGAGTGATGGCTTTGCGGATTGTGTATTCGGAGTAACCAATAGCCCTGAGAACCTGGTGTACGTGTTTGAGTTCACTGGTAATGTGTTCCTGGTCGGAAATGCATTGGGCTCTATAGTATAGAGTCTTGATGAGGGAGTTCTTCTGGGATGGATGGTGGTGGGAATCCGGTTTCAAGTAAGCATCTGTATGGGTAGCTTTCCTGTAGACAGAGTGGCTCATTGAACCATCAGGTCTCCTTTTAATTAAGACATCCAAAAAGGGTAGCTTGCCATCTTTTTCCACCTCCATGGTAAATCTGATGGCTGGGTGTATGGAATTGATGTGGTCCCGGAATTGGTCTAGAGCAGGCTGGCCATGTGGCCAGATGACAAAAGTGTCATCTACATATCTCTTCCATAAGGTCGGGCATAGAGTGGCAGTCTGGATGGCGTCAGTTTCAAATTTTTCCATGAATTCGTTGGCTACAACCGGACACAGGGGGGGAGCCCATTGGGGTGCCCTCAGTCTGTTTGTAGAAAGTTCCATTCCAGGTGAAGTATGTGTTGGTTAAGCAATGTCTCACCAGGGGGGGTACATCAGTATGAAGTCCTTGATGAACCAAGTCTTCAATGATAGCGATGGTGTCAGGTACTGGAACTTTGGTGAACACGGACACTACATCAAAACTGACAAGCAGGTCGTCTGGGGACAGGGAAATGCCTTTGATTGTCGATACCAGGTGAGTAGAATTTAGTACCGCAGAGGTGGTTTTTCCAGTGAAAGGTCGCAGTATATCAGCAAGAAAAGGTGCCAGTTTATAGGTGGGGGAGTTGATAGTAGAGACGATGGGACGAAGGGGTGTATCTTCTTTGTGTATCTTTGGAAGGCCATATAATCTAGGTGGTCTGGCAGCAGAGGGTTTCAACGAGAACTGTTTGGTCTGATCAATTAATGCTGTTGAATCAGAGATGATTTTGTTCGTTTTGGTAACCAGGCTGTTGGTGGGATCTCTTTTTATTTTTGTATAGCTGCCATCGTTAAGTAGTTCTTGAATTTTGTTGTTATATTCTGTTTTTTCCATGATGACAGTGGCATTGCCCTTGTCGGCTGAGAGGACGACAATTTGATTCAACTTCTTACGTTTAGAGATGTTCCCATGGGAAACCGCTCGATTTAAAGATTCCGTTCTTTTTTTTTAAAGAACAAAAAATAATTAACTTAATGCTTTACGAGGGGAAGCTCTGGTATCTTTTACCGTTTTTAAATCATTCAGATTTGAACATCACAAAAATGGAAGATAGAACAATAGTTTTCACTTTAAACAACAGAAGATAGAACAATGATTATCACTTTAAACAATAGAGGATAGAACAATGGGTCTCGCTTTAAACACTATAAGATAGAAGAATGGGTCTCGCTTTAAACAATATAAGATAGACGAATGGGTCTCGCTTTAAACAATATAAAATAGAAGAATGATTCTCACTATAAACAATAAAAAATAGAACAATGGGTATCGCTTTAAACAATAGAAGATAGAAGAATGGGTCTCGCTTTAAACAATAGAAGATAGACGAATGGGTCTCGCTTTAAACAATATAAGATAGAAGAATGATTCTCACTTTAAACAATAGAAAATAGAACAATGGGTATCGCTGTAAACAATAGAAGATAGAACAATGATGATCACTTTAAACAAGAGGATAGAACACTGGGTCTCGCTTTAAACAAGAGGATAGAACACTGGGTCTCGCTTTAAACAATAGAAGATAGAACAATGGGTCTCGCTTTAAACAATAGAAGATAGAACAATGGGTCTCGCTTTAATTATATTCGCTGTTTAACGCTCTACCAAACGAAAAAACCCCGCAATCTTTGATTTAGAACGGTGCCTGAATGACACCAGGAATAAACATTTTCATGGGCCACTAAAAATCTCGCTGTAGTTGATGTCCTCGAAGCTACCTGGGTACCAACATTTCAGCCCTTTACCTTGTCCGGGATGTACCAAAGAGATGTTTTTGAGACATCTCGATCAGAGATCGAAGTGGAGCGTGACAAGATGACCTGAGCCCCGTCACGTAACATTCCGTCCTGAGAGTTCTCTTGGCAAAATTCCAGCTCTTGAGAATTAAATTAAAAACTTTCGTTCCGTGTGTGGGGTTTGTATGCAGTATATCTCTATGCACATATCTGTATATACAGTACTGTATCTCTCTTTGTGCATCTTTCACTCTATATATACATCTCTATGTCTGCACCTGTGTGTATGTCTCTATGTGTATGTATCTGTGTATATATCTGTCCCTATGTGTATCTCTGTGTGTATCTCTGTGTGGTGAGCCCCGCTCACCTGTACCCCTGCTGCTACTCTCTCTATGTATATATATCTCTATGTATATATATCTCTATATGTATCTGTGTGGTGAGCTCCACTCACCTGCACCGCTGCCCTCTCTCTATGTATGTATATATCTCTATGTATATCTCTGTATATCTATATATCTATATATCTCTATATATCTATGTATATCTCTATATATCTCTATATGTATATCTGTGTGGTGAGCTCCACTCACCTGCACTGCTGCCCTCTCTCTATGTATCTCTCTCTATATATCTCTATATAGATCTCTGTGTGGTGAGCTCCACTCACCTGCACCGCTGCCCTCTCTATATATCTCTCTATATCTCTATATATCTATATGTATCTCTGTGTCTATGTATCTCTGTGTGGTGAGCTCCACTCACCTGCACCACTGCTGCTCTCTATGTATGTATATCTCTCTATATATCTCTCTATATATCTCTATGTATATCTCTATGTATATCTCTCTATATATCTCTATATGTATCTGTGTGGTGAGCTCCACTCACCTGCACCGCTGCTGCTGCTGCCGCCGCCGCCGTCTCCGCTCTGCGCTGCGACTCCCAAACTTTCGCCGCCTCACCTCCGCTCGGAGTCGATTCCTCCTCCGCTAATCGACGTGGCCGATTCCTCGGGCTTCGATTCCGGCTCCCCCCTGTGTTAATTTTAGCCACGCAGAAGGGTCATTGCCCGAAACGTCGCCGAGCAATTGTTGTACAGGAGGAGGTCACGGGACAGACCCAGCAGGTGTCATGAGTTGACTGCTGTGCCAGGCTAGGTGCAGGAGGTCACGGGACAGAGCCAGGTGCCATGGATTGACTGCTGTGCCAGGCTAGGTGCAGGAGGTCACGGGACAGACCCTGCAGGTGCCATGAGTTGACTGCTGTGCCAGGCTAGGTGCAGGATGTCACGGGACAGACCCAGCAGATGCGATGGGTTGACTGCTGTGCCAGGCTAGGTGCAGGATGGCACGGGACAGACCCAGCAGATGCGATGGGTTGACTGAGATGACTGGGCAGATGCACCACCTGCGCCCCCTAGTGCGCCAACTCGCTGCGTTTAATCCTCCCGGCAGCCTCCTCTCGTTGTTATGAACGTCGCTTCTACCGCCCTCCGCCGTTGCTGAATGGTTCGCATGTTTTGTTCCTTGGGAGTGTGTGTTAAAATGCAGTACATTAAGTAACCCCCTGTGACTTGTTAAGATGCATTTAATAACCCTGCCCTACGTTTGCCGACTTTGCACCACCCCTGTGTATTTGATCGGGCTCTGGGAGTCGTCTATGCATTAGTGTGTCGAGCCAAATCAGCTAAACTACTAAACATTTTTATTAATTTTATTTGTGCCGGTAAGGGCCACCGCTGAGCTGTGTAGCTCTATTCCAGAAGCGACCCTGGTCATCACGAAGTATAGCCCAACGAAGTGGCTCATCACCATCATCATCGCCACGTGGACAGTTATAGCGGCAGCCAAATAACTCTTAAACGCGCGGTGACGTCGACTCTAAATGTGGAGGGGGAAAAGCGGATGATGACTCAGAGAATAAATAATATAAAAAAACACTTTTTTTAAACACGCTTTTATGAAATGTGCTATTAATGGAAGAACTCCACGACTCCAAGAAGTGGCCCCGAAGCTTGCCACAACGTAAGGGGTCCGTGGCCAATTACAGACAACGTCAGTTGAGCGTGGGCAATTAGACCCAAGCCGAAACATAACATATAAAAAAGAATGTTTAAAAAAGTTATATTTTATGATAGAATATAGTGTTGTCATCAGTATGACATAAGTATACCAAGTTTGCAGTCGATACCAAATTGGGAAGTGGGTTAAAATTGAGCTACAAGATTTGATGATACAACAACAACCACAACAGACTTGTGAGTTAAATGAAAGCGTGTAAAAATCCACGCGACCACGGGGAGAGAGAGAGAGAGAGACGCAGACTCAAAATATACAGCAGGCGTCAGGCTCGGGATAGAACACACGACCCCCTGCATACCAGGTGAGGTAGTTAACATCTCCTAGCCACCGTGATGATGATAAGTGAGAGACGCAGACTCAAAATATAGAGCAGGCATCAGGGTCGGGATCGAATCCACGACCTCCTGCATACCAGGCGAGGTAGTTAACATCTCCTAGCCACTGTGATGATGATAGATAGACACGTAAACTCCAAATATACAGCAGCAGCAGCAGGGTCGGGATCGAATCCACGACCTCCTGTATACTAGGCGAGGTAGTTAACATCTCCCAGGCACCGTGATGATGATGAGAGAGACACGTAAACTCCAAATATACAGCAGGCGTCAGGGTCGGGCTTGAACCTACGACCTCCTGTATACCAGGCGAGGTAGTTAACATCTCATAGCCACCGCGGGCCGCGTCCCTGGGTGTGTGCATGCACCACCAACTTTCTGTCTAATTATATCATTACTGATTGTCCACAACGCTGTTAACCACCTTGGGAAGGACGTCACCGCCGCTGAGTGGCCAAGGTGGGGTTGGCGGGGTATCTCCACACAGTCGAATTGTACATCACATTTCAAAGGCGCAGCACCTGCAATTGCCTCGCTAACGCCACTGCTGGCGAGCGAGCTCTAGAGCTGAAACTCGCTTTGTACTTGGCCTACTCTTCCACGCCGGGCCGTGGCACGTCTTGGGAAAGGCGGGAGTGCCCACACTTTCCACCACCATCACCGCCACCCAGCACACGAGACCCGCCGAGGGTCGTGCTAACCGGAGTTGTACCCCAGACATCGACTCGCCACTGACCAGCGTGGTGAAGTATGGTCAAAGAGCACCACTCCCCCACGCCATCACCACAAGCCATGGACAGACCTTCATCCAGCAGCGGGGTCTACAAAGGGCTTCCTAGTTGTATTATTATCACATGGCACATGCACACTACACAGGTATACGTGCAGCATATATACGTCCATAGTGTCGGGGTGGTGTTAGTGTAGGGGTGGTGTTAGTGTAGGGGTGGTGTTAGTGTAGGGGTGGTGTTAGTGTAGGAGTCGTGTTCGTGTAGGAGTAGTGTAGGGGTAGTGTAGTGTTAGTGGAGTGTTAGTGTCGGGGTGGTGTTGGTGCAGTGGAGGGGTAGTGTTAGTGGAGTGTTAGTGTAGGGGTGGTGTTAGTGTAGGGGTGGTGTTAGTGTTGGAGTCGTGTTCGTGTAGGAGTAGTGTAGGAGTAGTGTAGGGGTAGTGTAGTGTTAGTGGAGTGTTAGTGTCGGGGTGGTGTTCGTGTTGCTTCTCAATGGCTGTTTGCCTTTGGACCCACCCACAATAAACGGATTCTAATAAAACGCTACAATACCCCCAACTTGTGTTGCATGCGTGTGTGTGTGTGGACGTACATGACTAGTGTGTGTGTGTCAATATTGATGTATACAATAAAACAACACCCTTCCTTCTCGTTGGCGCCTGACGGCAACGCTGTGGTGAGCGGTGCCGTGTGGGGGGGGAGGACCAATTTAGATTGGCCATTCCCCCCATGGCATTTGTAACCACCACAGCGGCCAAATTGGGACTCTGGACGGTTGCGAGGGACTGGTAACCCCTCCACCTTCAATGAATTACCACTGAACGACGATTTAAAACTTTCCCCAGGCTACTTTGGGCTCGCCTTCCCATCAACCGGAGGCGAGGAGTGATGGTCGTGGTTACTTATGCCCCCACCGAAGACGAACATCCGTGGAGGGATGCAGGCAAGTCCGATGAGTCAGATGCCTTCTATGACCTCCTGTCACAGGTGCTGGCTAAAGTGGCCCCTCGGGATAGAGTCATCTTGTTGGGTGACTTCAATGCCCGAGTTGGTCATGATGCTGGCACCTGGTCTGGAGTGATTGGAGGGAATGGGCCAGATCAGCTCAATAACAACGGTAGGAGGCTGCTAGATTTTTATACAGCCCATGGGCTTGTAATTAGCAACACACTGTTCCGGCATCGGCGCATCCACACATCATGGATGCATGCCGGGTCAAAGCAAGAACATCTGCTGGACTACATAGTGACGAAACAGCGGATGCGGACACATGTCCTTGACACCAGGACCTACCGTGGAGCTTATCTGCCCAGTGACCATCGACTTGTCATCTGTAAGATGCGCCTGGGAGTCGGAGCCATTTCCTGTTCACTTTGGAGTGCGACAGGGATGTCCTCTGGCGCCCACATTATTTAACATCTATTTCGACCACGTAGTTCATGAAGCCTTCAATAGCTATACCGGAGGAATTTCCATCTGATACAGATACAATGGGAGGCTGATCGATGTCCGGGTGCGGTCAAGGGATGGCTCCCTATTGCTCAACCATGTTACGTATGCCGATGATCTGGTAATTGCTGTTCACTTAGAGGAGTTGGAAGCGCTGCTGCTGAACCTGGAGCGTGCCACTAAGAGGTGGGGACTTACCATCAGCCCCACCAAAACTAAGCACCTGCCTGGGTATTTTGTACCATCGGACACTCCACCCCCACAACTCTCAATTGGTGATAGGGCAGTTGTGGAGAGAGTGTAGAGCTTCGAATACCTCGGCAGTGTGCTCATGACCAGCTCCGGTTTGACAGCAAAGGTCTCACACTGAATCAGCCGAGCGGCAATATCTTTTCATCGATTGCGTAACGCTGTGTGGAAGCTACCTGGTCTGTCGCTCCGCACAAAGCTTCAGGTCTTCTTGGCCACAGTCATTCCCTCCCTTCTCTACGCTTGCGAAACGTGGACCCCCCTAATGGAACATCTTCGCCGGTTAGAAACATTTAGGCTAGCCTACCTACGACCCATCCTGGGTTTAACCAGGCTGGATTGTGTGAGGAGCTCACAAATCCTTGAAAGATCTGGACAGTCCCATCGGTGAGCTCCTCCGGCAGGCAAGGCTGCGTTGGCTGGGTCATGTAGCCGGCATGCCCAGCCACCGCATGCCCAAACAGCTTTTGTTCGGCCGGATTGAGGGGGCTGAACTGGCGCGGCACGGGCTAGAGAAGAGATGGAGTGACGTGGTACAGGAGGACGTGGAGCTGAGTGAACTTGCCGATGACTGGTACCAGCGGTGTCAAGATCGGCCTCTGTGGAGGAGGCTCGTGAAGGACGCTGCTACTGGGCAGTTGGAGGCAGTCGCCCTCCAACAACAACGGAGGGCGGAGGAGCGACGCTCACAACAACGAGCGGAGCGCCGGGTGGCTAAAGCACAGCAAGTTGGCACAGTAGGGGGCACTGGTGGTACATCAGCCAGTCATCTCAGTCAGTCGACCCGTGGCACCTGCTGGGTCTGCCCCGTGACCTTCTGTCAGAGGGCGTTCGACACTTCACGTGGCCTCAACGTGCACATGGCCTGGCACAAGCGTCGTGGTGACGTCACCGCCACTTAGTAGCGAATGGCGGTTGTTGTTTTATACATGTGAGTGGCTATGTATGCCTGCATGTATATATCTGTATGTGTATGTGTGCATACATACATATACCTGAACCCGGCCACCCGAGTTCGATTTCAGCTCACGGTCACCACCGGTGACGATTATCTGAACCGGTCCTGGGCCCTCCTCTAGGTCTACTCAGCCTCAAATGATTACCTGGTGTGGTGTGTAGTAAACATCGCCACTGGGAGACAAAGGCGGCCGGACGTGGCGCCGGCCACCCACCCCCTCGTGTGCCGTTTCGGACTTCATAG